ATAAAACGATTAGGAGTAAACCCAAAATTTAATATTCCAAACTACAAGGAAAGTACCTACCATGGAAAAACTAAATCTCCATTGTGCTGTTTCATTTGTTTTATTTTTTTGTTGGCATACTACATCAATCTCGTATACTATTATTGAGTATAGAACAATAAACAAGCATCTAGCATACAACATTCTATTACCAGAGGGTGAGCTGTGGCACAAGACTAAAGTTATTGCCTTTGGACTTGGGCCAGATTTTCAGATGGTATTAGTTGTATTCTCATTTACTCGGCCGCTTCTTACAACATTTTGTTTTTGTTGATATTGTGTTGTGTTGTTATTAGATAGTGATAAGGCTAGTTGATAGAAAATTGGTACAACACGTTTTTTCAATACCCTGTTTTGATTGTTTGAAATTTATTTAAAAAATACAAATTTTTTTTTGTCTTATTTAATGACTCATAAATTTATAGTTTTTCAATTTTAATATTATGTTATTAACCCTTCTTATTTAAGTCAACAAAAGTTAATCTAATTGGTAAAGAATAAACTCATTTTAAAGAGTCATCATGAGTTTGATTTCTACTAATTTAAAGATTTTGTTGATAGATAATTTGTAAATACCTTCATAAGCATTCATTGAGTCTCGAGATATGTCCTTTGGTAAATATCGATATTCAATTTATTTAAACTTTTGTGACAAAAAAAAAAATCACTCTTTCTATTTAATAATCACATGTTAAAATCTGTGACATTAATTTTTCAACTTGAATATTCAAAATCGAAAACTTATTTATAACATTATTCTTAAATCACTTGCCAAGCCACATGGATCGGTTAAAGTTAAATTTATCCACATTTTGTATCTGTTGTTATCCTTGCTTCAATTCCCTTTCTAATGGTTTTAAATAGCTGTCAACAATTCAATAAAGCCGACTTAGTGATAAGCGTTGGGATTATTTTTATGAAGTTTTTAGTGTGGTTACTGTATTGTGATCCATAACCGACAGAAAAATTGTTGTTCACCTATTATTGACTCTATCACAGTCTTGATAGTTCAATATTAAAGAAAAGAGAAAAGAAAACAGAGTGCTGAAGAATATATCAAAATTATATTGAATATCATGTGTAAGATTACAAAGCTGTGTCTTGTATATATATGTGACTAAAAGAAACTAACTAACAACCTAACAGTTAACCAATATACAGCTGTATATTGGTATATTCCAATATCCCCCCTCAAGATGGCAGAAAAATATTGTCTATGGCCATCTTGGATATGATGCCAAGAAATGCATTCTTCGGTAAGGCTTTAGTGAAAACATCCGCCAGTTGATGATATCTTCTGACATGAATCAACTTGATAACACCTTTGGTGACTTTATCTCTGATGAAATGTAGATTAATTTCAAGATGTTTTGTCCTTTCATGAAAGGTAGGATTGGAGGCAATGTGGATGGTAGCTTTATTATCACAATATACAGATGCAAAAGGGGTGTTGATGTTGAAATCAGTTAGGAGGTTCCTCAGCCAAGTAATTTCACTAGATACAAAAGATATGGCTCTATATTCTGCCTCTGCAGATGATTTACTCACTGTTTGTTGTCTTTTAGATTTCCAAGAGATTAAGGAGTTTCCTAGGAAAACACAGAAGCCAGTTGTAGACTTTCTACTGTCCTGATAGGATCCCCAATCCGCATCAACATATGCATGCAATCTGGTATCTGAATTGGCTTTGAATAAGATACCTTGTCCAGCAGTATGCTTGAGGTACCTAAGTAACATATTAGCTGCATTCATATGGTCAGTATATGGATTAGAAACAAATTGACTTAACTTATGTACTGTGAAGCATATGTCAGGCCTAGAGATAGTCAAGTATAATAATCTGCCAATAAGTCTTCGGTATTTTTCAGGGTCTAATAGCTTTGTGCCAGATTTTGTTGTCAGTTTCAAATTGGATTCCATTGGGATAGATGAAGGTTTGCATCCCAGCATTCCACAGTCTTCGAAGATTGACATAGTATAGTGCCTTTGACACATAAATATTCCTTCTTTGGATTTGGAAAATTCTAATCCAAGAAAGAATTTGAGATCTACAAGATCCTTCAACCTGAAATATTTTTGTAAAAGAATTTTTGTATGTGAAATAACATCATTGCTAGGACTAGCAATGACAATGTCATCCACATATACTAAAAGAGCAATGAAATTTGAATTAGTCCCTTTAGTGAATAAAGAATAATCAAACTTAGATTGCTTGTAACCATGAGATAGTAAGGTAGTACTGAATTTATTAAACCAGCTCCTAGAAGCTTGTTTAAGGCCATAAATAGATTTTTTAAGTTTACAGACATGGGAAACGGATGTGGTATTAATGATTTTATGATTATATCCTTGAGGGATTTTCATGAATATTTCTTCCTCAAGGTTACCATTTAAAAAAGCATTGTTGATATCAAGTTGAGCTAAATGCCAATGTTGAGAGGCTGCCAAGGATAAGAGTTACCTGAGTGTGGTGATTTTTTCCATAGGGGAAAAGGTTTCCTGGAAGTCAAGACCATACTGTTGAGTAAATCCCCTTGCAACAAGTCTGGCTTTATGTTTAGCCATAGTGCCATCAAAGTTTAATTTCAGTTTGAATAACCACTTACAACTGATGGGTTTTTTGTCTGGAGGAAGAGGCACAATATCCCAAGTGTTATTGACTTCCATAGCAATCAGCTCATCAGAAATAACTTTCTGTCAGGATGTGTGTTTGATAGCCTGAGCATAGGTTTGCGGTTCAAAATGTTCTAAAATTTGACAAATATAATGTCTATACGAATTGGATAGATGAGAATAATCAAGGTAATTTTGGATAGGATATGTAGTGATGGAAGAGTCAATGGCATTGTAACAATGATAGTCATTGAGATAGCTCGGAGGATTGGATGTTTTGTTGGATCTGCGAAGAGAAGGTTGGTCCATAATGGTAGGTGGTGTGTGAGGAATAGTGGTAGTATAAGGTGCAATAGTATTGTGGTCATCAATGTCATCCAAGGTATGTGAATAAGTGATATTAGGGGTAATATAAGGATCAGAAATGGTTTGATGTGCAGGTTTGAATGAGAAAATATGTTCAAAAAATTTTACATCTCTTGAAATAAAAATTTGTTTGGTGGAGAGGTCAAGGAGCTTGTAACCTTTGTATCCCTTGGGATAACCCAGGAAAACAGCAGCAACAGCCCTATGAGTGAACTTGTGTCTGCTAGATAAAAGGGTAGATGCATAGCATAAAGAGCCAAAAACTCTGAAATCAACATAGTTAGGAATCTTATCATACAAAATTTCAAAAGGTGACTTAGAATCCAGAATAAGGCTAGGAGTTCTATTCATGAGGAACACAGCAGTTTTGACACATTCACCCCAAAATTTTAATGGAACATTAGATTGAAACATTAACGCACGAGCAATGTTCAGGATGTGTAAATGTTTTCTTTCAACCACACTGTTTTGTTGTGGTCTTTCTACACAAGAGAATTGATGAATGATACCTTTCTTGGAGAATAAATCAGTGAAAGAAAGTTCCTTGGCATTGTCAGACCTGAATGTTTTAGGAGTTTTATTGAATTGGGTTTCAATATAAGATATGAATTGTGGTATGACAATAGCACAGTCAGATTTATTTTTCAATAAGAAGATCCAAGTGAACCTGCTTTTGTCCTCAACAAGAGTTAAAAAATATTTAAAACCATCATATGTAAGTTCCCTAAAGGGTCCCCAAATATCAGCATGTAGTAAATCAAAGAAGTTGGGACTAAAATGGTTAGGATTAGAGAAAGAAAGTCGGTTCTGCTTAGCAAGTTGGCAAGTGCTGCAATGAAAATGAGAATCAACAGAGGACAAAATAGTTTTATTGGCAATCAAATTGTACACATTAATAGGAACATGACCTAATCTTTTATGCCAAGTATCATAGGAAACAAGGTTACAAGAATCAATGTTATTGAAGGTAAATTTTGACTCAGGAAAATAAAAGAACAGTAACCCTTGATCTTGTTTAGCGATGCCAATCCTCCTCATTGTCGTGAGGTCTTGGAGTACAAAATTGTTAGATTGCATAGTAAACTGAAACTGGTTTTCATTAAGCAATTTAAGAAGTGAAAGGAGATTAAATCGAAATGATGGTATGAACAACACATTGTGCAAATGGATGTCATCATTTAGTTGAATACTTCTTATTCCTTCTATTTTTACTTTAGTGGAGTTAGGCAGCATAACATAATAATCAGATAAAGAGGTGTATGAATGGTACATGTTTCGATCACGACAAATATGAGAAGTAGCTCCTGAATCAATAACCCATCTATAAGTAATATTATGCAACAGAAAGTGTGTATTCATGCAAATACCTGTCACATTTGTAGGGACAGCTTCATTAGGATTGTCAAGTTTCATCAGATTGGTTAGGAAATTGATTAATTGCTGGCATTGAGCATGTGTTAAATTGTCAGGTTTGTTCTGATTTAAAGGTTCTGGGCTGTCAAGAACTTGATTTGCAACAGGAGTTTGTCTATTCTTAAAGCTGTAGTTAGGAGGATATCCTACAAGCTTATAACATTTATCCATTGTGTGACCCAATAAACCACAATATGCACATTTTGGCCTTTCCCTTCTATTGAATTTATAGTGATCAGCAGCAGAAGATTTTGTGGAAGAATTAACAAGAAAAGCCATATTATCAGAGTTTATAGAGGGAGTGTGGGTTACAGCAGTACCAATCTCTCTTTGTGTTTCTTCTTGAAGAACCAAAGAAAATACATTACCAATTGGAGGAAGTGGATCTGATAGAAGAATCTGACCACGGATTTGGGAGAAAGAATCGTTCAAACCCATCAAGAATGACATTATGTATTATAAGTCATTGTAGACTTGAAGATGTTGCAAGCCTCCACAGGTGCATGGAAAAGAGGGTTTGTATCCTGATAACTCCTCCCAGATTGACTTTAGTTTAGTGTAATAGGTACTCACATCATCAGTTCCTTGTTGAAGAGATGTAAGTTGCCTCCTGAGTTGAAATATACGAGGACCATTTTTCTGGAGAATCTTGATTTCAAATCGTCCCAAATTTCGTTGGCGGTATTTGCAAATAGTATGCTGGTTATAATTTCTTTGGAAACAGAATTATAGAGCCAAGAGATAACTACATTGTTCCCACGAATCCACGCAGCGTATGTAGGGTCATCAGCAGCAGGTCTTGGAAGAGAACCCGCAACAAACGGAATCTTGTTCTTTACGGAAACGGCCACCAACATACCACGGCTCCATGCTGTGTAATTTTTGTTATCGAGTGGCTGGGAGGTGAGAACAAGGCCAGGGCCATCGGAATGATGAAGAAAGAGAGGACTGGTTGGGTCTGAACTGGGATCTTTGGGAGTTTTTGCCATGGGAGCAAGATTGCAGATGCAAAAAGGTCAAGAAGTGGAAGTATGTGCTCCTGATACCATATTGACTCTATCACAGTCTTGATAGTTCAATATTAGAGAAAAGGGAAAAGAAAACAGAGTGCTGAAGAATACATCAGAATTATATTGAATATCATGTGTAAGATTACAAAGCTGTGTCTTGTATATATATGTGACTAAAAGAAACTAATTAACAACCTATAACAACCTAACAGTTAACCAATATACAGTTGTATATTGGTATATTCCAATACCTATTTTAGGGTGAATTGAGGTAGAGGGAAGAGAGATTAAGAAAACTACAAAAAGAAGAGAGAAAATTATAAATGTGATATCCAATGTGATGGAAAATAGATAGAAAGATAAATTAAAAAAAAAAAAGGTGAAACCATGTACTCACTATATTTAATAAGAGAAAAAATAAAAAAAAATAAAAATCTATATTTTATTTTATAAAACGTCTTATTATAAAGAACCACCGTTTTTTTTTAATTGTACTTTATAAATAAATAAAAAACGGACGGAGAGTACATTGCAACATAACTGCAATCAGAATTTAATATGATGGCTAGCATGACATACTTCCTTAAATATTTCGTTAAATTAAAAAAAAAAAATCATACTTAATGTGTCGGGAAAATATGAATGTTTGAATGCTTATCCTTTGATGCTCTACACCTCTTTAACATTAATTTCTCGATTTTACGATCTTTTCACCTGATAAGTATTTGCATCACAAAATAAAGGTAAAGACCAGAGTGAAAAAAAAAAATCAGATAATATAAAGAATTCAAATCAAATTGAAAAAATAAATTGAATTAATTTAGACTATCAGATTAATTCAGATTAAAAAAATTGTAAATCTAATCTATTTGGTTTATATTTTGATTTTTGAAGAATTGAATGTTTGGTTAATTAAATATTTTATTATTTCTTTTTTATTTTTATTAACTTTGTTTTGGTCTATAAAGTTTGAATTTTTAGTGAAAAATAAATTCTTTAACATATGTTATAAGCAATATTTTATAATGTTGACAAATATTTATAATATTGAATGTTTTGTTGATGGAATTTGATGACATAATATGTTTTAAAAATTGTCTAATATAATTTTAATTTTTTTTCTTCATTTTTAATAATAAATACATGTTTCGATCCATAATAAATTGAATGTGATAGATATAGATCGGAGATTAAAAAAAAAAAAATCAACTAATTCAAACCATACAAAGTTGTTCAAATTAAATGAAAATTTGTCTTTAATCAAATTCAATTCAATGTGCATCCACTCCTACTAAAGATCATTTAATTATCTAAAACTTTTTCTCATAAACTTTCTTAACAAAAAAGTAACCTATTTTTTTTAAGAATAATTATGTTATTAGTATGAAATATCAACTATCTTCATTAAAGACTAATCTCCATCAATAAATATGAATAACTCACTTATTAATTATGTTTTTTTCACACAACTCAAATCCAACACTTTATAAATTATAAAAATACAACCATCACAAACAATGTAGAGTGCAAAAAAAACATAAACAAACATACCAATAAAAAATGTGAAATTTCTATGTAGATACCTATATTAACATATGCATTATACATAATAAATATTTATTTTTATATGATTAGAAATTATTATAAATAAATATTTTGAATAAAATTGTAATAAATAAATATTTTAAATATAAAAGTTTTATTTTAATTTTTCAACAAATAATTTAAAATATAATGTTTTAAAATTAAAACAGATATACAATTAAGATAATTTAGAAAAAAAAATTACCAGTTGCGAAGAAAGTGTGGAATGCACCATAAATAAAGAAGATAAAAAATGTTGAGAATTATTTTTAATAAAGAAAATGAGATTTTCAAAACTAAAGTCTACTTTTTCTTAAGTAGACTTTATAATAATAATAATAATAATAATAATAATAATAATAATCCATATTTCTATACATTTTAGTAAGGAGATATATTTTTTGTAATAAAATTTTGTTTATATTTTATTAATATTTTGACATATTAAACATTTATTACAATAAATTATATATATATATATATATATATATATATATATTATATTTAAATATA